ATTATTCGAACTACCACCATCTATCAACACATAAATTTAATAGTACCAACACCGATTCCAGTTTTTAGAGCATTGAGCGACAAATGATGACTATCACTAGCAAGGGTTACTAACTGCTCTTGCTGTTTCTCGACGTCAACTGGTTGTTGTGGGTCACCAGGATCTTCCTCTTCCAACTGCAAAAACATAAATCCCTTATTTGGACATTTGTGGTTAAAAGAGAATTTGTCATCGCAGAAATAACATAGACCTTTCTCTCGACAGATCTGCATTTCAGCGGGGCTAATTTTCTTGACTAAATTACCACGCAATGGAGTAACTAAAGGGGTAGGTAATAAATGTGGCAAGGGTTGTTTAGGAGCAGGTTTATTCATTGTCTGAGTAGAAGCGTATGAAGAAGTGGAAATGGAAGAAAATTTTTGTACGGGTGTGGATGAAATTGGTTTTGCGTGGGGCTGGTAACAGGTCTCATACAGTTTAGCTAGAGCAACTGCACGTAACAATGTAGTAGGGGATTGAGCTACAACATCCCTTCTAATTTTAGTATGTAACCCACTTAAGAAACAATTAAGCAAGGCTTCAGCCGACAATCCAAAAGAGCGATTAGCAAGAGACATGAACTGCAGAAACTAAACTTGTTTGTTGCAACTTAAACAAATCCGCCATTGGACAATCAAAAGGCGATGGCCCGAATTGAGACTCCAGAGCCCTCGTTAAATCAGTCCAGGAATTTACCGCAGATAAACGCTGCAACATTTGAAACCAAGGCACTACGTCCTTGCTAAAGTGAATTGCCGCAATATCGACTCATTCTACATCAGGCGTGTGATGGTAGTTAAAAAACTTCGCCGCCTTAAAGATCCACTCCATTACAGCAGAATGACCGTCAAAGTGTGAAAATCCCAGGGAGATATCCCTAACAGGGTGTGCCGTGGACAGAGGTTGTACAATTGGGGAGGAATTGTTCGAAGACTCACCATGAGGCTGAGAATGTTGTTGAAGCAACAAATCGAGAGCTCGTTGCAACTAATCCATACAAGCCTGATTGTCAGCGTGCATCTGATTTGTAAGATTACAAAGTTCCTAAGTGCGAATTTCGATCAACTCAACCACTCCGTGCAGCTCTTCCGCTTGACGTGCGATTGTGGTTTGCATTTCCTTCATACGTGTGTTCTCAGCCATGGAGATCAATGAAAGCACCAATGGAACGTACTAATAGTATTGTAACGGTGAGTGTTCTTAGTAAAGGAAAATATGGGAAACTAGCGTTGGCAGTTTGATATATAAGGAACAAAATCAATCCTTGAGAAGGTACAGTCCACCTGAAGGAAAAGGAAGTGAGATTCAGATTGGCAGGTAAAGGGTAAGATCATAAAGAAATAACAAAGAGAGAATGGAGTATCAGAGGGAGGTTCATACCGTTGCATAACCTTCTCACTCCACAAAGCCTTCCAGAAATACATTCCTCTTCTGCATCCTAGTGCTCCTTCTCGTGCCTCCTTTGCGCGGATCGCCTGCCACTTGGCATTCTGGTGTAACTAACTTCCCAGCCTTCTCTCCATTCGGTTGTTCTCCTACTTTTGTAATTCTGTTATTACGGCTCCATGTTACATGTCACTTTTTCATATATGCATTTTCTCGTGCACTGTCAAGAAATGAAGAAATAGAGGACATATATACTTCATAAAATCAACTAACTACTAACAGTCTGTGTATCTCAAAGTAGAAACGTTCAGGTTAGAATGTTAAAATTTTAAGAGCCAAAAAACGTAGCTTGTCCATTCAGAAGAATGCAGCTACTTTGGACTTCTGAGTGTTAAGACTTGGATAAACTGAGCATGAGGTGTGTAGCTACTTCCACTTTTGAATGTTAAAACGTTGCGCGAGAAGCATAGCCGGTAACTTTAAGTGAGATGGGGCTACATTCTATTTTGAATGTTAAAACATTGCGTTATTCGAGAGCATCTCAAAATTCTGAGAGAAAGTGTCTAATTTTCACTTTGAATGTAGAAACACTCAAGAACCCAAGACCATGGTTGGCCTTTCAATCAACCAAAGTTTTTTCGTGAAAAAGACCCAGCCAGTATTTTCAACTTGAACTTCTCCACTTGAAAGCATGGCATGGCGTGGCCATAAGTTTAGAAAAGTGCAATAACCAATGAAGCTCATATACTTGGCTTCAAATTGACCCAACCAGCAAGGCAAATGCAATCAATACGTGACCATGCATAGAAGTACGATGAAAGCAATTTCAAATTAATGAACTAGCCAAAGGGAAATGGTCTTAGAGAGCTAGTATTAAGCTCTAAACTTTTTGCCTTGAACACTTGCCGGAACGTGTTTAAATATGCGTGAATACTTGAGCCAATGTGATATAGTTATATATATTTATTTTATTAGCCCCTACATGTATTAAGTCTTCATCACACAGGCAAGAAGAAAAGATATATTCTTTTTACAATAATAATATCTTTTCAATCGACAGTTAAATTGTTTTTTGAATAGAAAATTAATCAATGTAAATATAACCTATTTTAATAAAATATTTTCAGTACATGTGACAACAGAAGTTTTATGCCTGTAGTAAATATGCTCTATTTACCAAAAGAAGAAAAATATTATGCAAGATTAAAAAAGAAAAGGGTGATAAAGTACCTTGCCAAATAATAATAATAATAAATAAACGGAAGAACGTACGTTACCTGTAAGTAGCTTGCAGCGAGTTGGACCACCAAACAATCTTGTCAATGGCCCATCCACGCATGAACAATAAATGCAACAACTTCACACCGAATACTACGACTAAATATAACCCCCAATATTTTTTAAAAAATAAAATCAATACTCCTAAAAGAAAAATCACTCTAGAGTGATAATTACTTTTTATTATTTATTTTAATCTTTAAATACTATTTTAAATGTGAAATATTATTTAAAAGAAAAGAGATATATTTATTACTTTTTATAAATATCAAATTTTATTGAGTCAACTACTAAATTATGCAATATTATTTTTATTTATGCTAAATAAATTAAATATTTATAAATATTTAATTTTACTAAAATACTTCTATTATAAATTTTGAAATTTTTGTAGTACTGTTGTTTTAGTAATTTGTTGAAAAATATTATCTTAACAAATAGATGTCTAATTGGAAAAAAGTAATTAATATTTTTAAGAGATAAATAATTTGAAATAAATAAAAATATTTAAGTGATATTTAATATGAAAAATTATTTTATACTTTAAATTTAATTTAAATATATTGATAGAGTAAAAATATTTATATTATTATTTAATAATGAATTATTATATCAATATAATTATTTTTAATAATTAATATAAAAATAACATTTTGACATAATATACTACAATTAAATTTTTATAAAGTTAGATTTTCTACATAAATATTTTTTTAAGAATAAGAACTATAATTTATACAATAAAAATAAATTAAATGCGTTAAATGAAATTTCAAGATTAATGAACATAATTGATATTTTTTATGTTTAAATTATAGATATCGATGGCATAAACATCTAACAAAAGTTGCTAGAACCCAAAACTTCGTCTTTTTTCTTTCTTTTAAAAAACACACATATTATACGAATCAAACACTCATTTTCGGGAACATAATTGATAAACTAATGATCAAAATAAGTATTTAAATTTCTAAAATCAAATAGATTATAAAAAGAAAAAACTGATTAAGTCAATAAAATAATTTCCTTTTTCAGCGCTCGAGTGAGTTTCAAGCAACTCAAGCCTACTTCATTATTCATTTTTAATAACACTGTGTAAATATCCTTTAAATATTTCCTTATTTTAAAATAATAAAAAATAATATTTGCATCACAAAAGTTCTCCACAAAATTGAAGGACATTTATTTCATCATTAATATTTTGCCTACATCTATCGTTTTTTTTATGAACCAAATCAAAATCAATCATCTCCAGGCTTAAACATTAATACTTATGGTATTCAATTAAATCCATGTCTAGAATTATTTTTAAGATAAGTTCTTATAAAAAAATATAAATAATAAATAAAATTTCGATTATAAATTAAAAAATTTATTTTTTAAAATTTTAGAGGAGCTAAATAGAAGAGTTTTTCATAAATTTTAAAAAATATATAGAAATACAAATTATTTCTAACTTGTAGAAAATATTTTATTATATAAAAATCTATAATTAAAGGTAAAATAAATACATTACTTATAATGTTATAGTTATATGAACCAAAAAAAATATATGTAGTATTTGAATTTGTTTAAAATTTTCAAAAAATAAAAATAAAAGTGTTGAATAAGAAACCATTATGTATTAATAAATACATACAAGTCATGTACGATTTTGCTATAAAACTGGACCCAAAAGAGTTTCTAAATTTCAGGAAGAAAGAAACAGAAAATAAAACCTTCTTCTAATTTGGAAATCTTAGTTTGTCATATTTCTTAGTATTTGTCTAAATAACAGCTTAATTAATGATTTTTTAAATATTATATAAAAAATTTATATTATATATTTAAATATAAAAGTTATTAACATAAATTAATTTTAATATACTGATAATGTTGAAAATAAACTGATAGTGTAAGAAAAGTAATACTATCACTTAAATATAAGTTATCACTTTAATAAAAACTATACTGTTGATTTTTGTAATAATAATAAAAATTATATTAATAATTTATTTAATTGATTGATGATATAATTTTTTTTTATATTTACAATACACTAAAATTAAATTTAAAATTTTTAAAAATTATTTGAATATATTATATAATGAAATTTATTAAAATAAATTTAAAACATAAAAAATATTCTTTTAATTTCTGTAAATACTTACTTATTGCTGAATATGAAACTGTTAAAACTAAAAAGAACGAAAGTGAAAATTGTCCCATAGAAAGAAAATGAAAAAAGTTGAATTAGTAAGGAATAAGTTTTTAATTAAAAAAAAGGAAAAAAAAAAGAAAGTAATTGGCAGCTACAGCAAAGAAGGAATGAGTGAGAATCATGTGAAGTGCCGCCTCTCTCTCTCTCTCTCTCTCTCTGGGTCAATCAAAAGCTTCAACCTTTACAATCCAACAAAACACCCACTTCTGTGTTGTCGTGTTTTAATTCGTTTTTTGTTTTGTTTTTCTGATTAAATATTATTCTGAGAGGCTCTGCTTCTAGTTCTTGTATTGGTTTCAATGGCTTCAACTGCTCCAAGGTTCATCAAGTGTGTGACCGTTGGGGACGGTGCTGTAGGGAAGACCTGCATGCTCATGTGCTATACTAGCAACAAATTCCCCACCGTATGGATGCTTTGTTCCACACAATTTATTCTCATAAGATCAATTTTTCAAAGTCCTCCCCTTTTTACTATCATTTTTAAAACTTTATAATTGTTCAGTTTGAATATGTATTCGCATCCCTGAATTCTCAATTCTGTTGAAATCATCGTAATTTGACTAAAAGCGAATTCTTTTATGTATGTGTGTTTTTGTGTCTGAGGGAACACGATAACCCTTAAGTCATTTTCTCATTTGATGTGTGTTAACTGTTAAGTGAAGAAGTAACCCATTTGTTATCGTGTGAAGTTCCACCATTTGTTGCTTTTATTGGGTTAACTCTGATTTTGCTGTCCCCCTAATGTGCTAATCTTCAGGACTATATTCCCACAGTGTTTGATAATTTCAGTGCAAATGTGGTTGTTGAAGGCATAACTGTCAATTTAGGCCTCTGGGATACAGCTGGTATATTCACTGAGACTTGTTATAGTGTTTTATTTTATTTTATTCATTTATTTTGGGGGATTCAGTTATAGAGACATATGAAGGTGGAAAATAGGGGGTGATAATGGGGATACGGATTGTTTGCAAACTTAAATTTCGGTGTGCCTGATAGCATGATGTGTGAAAATGAAGAGGAAATAATGTTGTATTTGTTTGCATTATCTTCCTTAGGGCAAGAGGATTACAACAGGCTGAGGCCTTTGAGCTACAGGGGGGGAGATGTCTTTGTCTTGGCTTTTTCTTTAGTTAGTCGTGCGAGCTATGAGAATGTGTTGAAGAAGGTATGCTTCAATGCTTGTCTCTCTGAATTAGTACCCTCACATGTCTTGCAGATTTCTCTTCTGTTCTCTAATTTGTATGCACTGTCCAGTGGATTCCTGAACTCCAGCATTATGCCCCTGGCATACCGGTGGTACTAGTTGGCACCAAATTGGGTAAGTCCGCAATCACTTGTATTAATAATTGTCTCCGACTCATACTAATTTTTCTTCCAATCAAATACTCTGTAAAGCATCACCCAAATATGAGGAAATGAGGGTCTAAGACTAGAACTCATCTATTCCCTTTTGTTACGTTGAAACATATGATCATTTTGCATAGATTTATCGATCTCTTTAACAACATAATTCATTAAAAGTATGCACAAAGTTTTGTGCCAAACTATACATACTTTTTAAAACTCAACAAACTCATTTATCACCAAATTTTTTTTGGTTGGCATTCACGTTAAATGTATAATCTTGGGGCAAGCTTACCTCTGAACTTGTCTGCTTGTATCTGTTATGGTGAAGACACATTTTAATTTACATCTACTCATCTTATCACATGTTGGCGATCCATTGAGGAAGTTGCATTCAGAATATAAATGCACTCAGAATACTAATGCAAATTTCTGAACCAAAAAACGTTCTACTTCAACAATGTCATGTCTTATACCATTGATGTCATCTAATTTCATTAGAGTAAAGAAGAAATTTAGTACTATAAGCTTTAAAGGTTTTTCTGATAGTATAGCTTGAATGTTCTTATCCTGTTTTATTAATTGATCAATATAAGATCATCCCTCACACGAAGGAAGCTTAAGCTTTAACACTAGAGAAATAACAAGTTTTGATCACGAGTAGGAAGCCTCATGACATTATTACAAAATGATTTCATAAAGGATTCAATTTCATTTAGGCTTCAAAATGCAGAATGTTGACCATCATCTGTAATATTACCACTCAGTTGAATGGAAGAAAGGTTTATACGAGAGTTGAGGGAGAAAAGCTATGTTAATAATGAGCAACATGATCACAATTGAATATGTCAACAATTAATCTGGTTCTCCTTGATTTGTTCTTGATTTGTTACTTTAAAATGCTTAAGTGTTGTGATCAAACAAATCTCTGGTCTCTTCTGTTCCATACCAAAGATATAGTCCATTGATAGTTGAATGGTTCTTCTAGTTTTGACTTCAGGCATGTCTTAGAATAAATCATATGAAGCAAAATACCTTCAATTTCCGATAACATTTCTGTTTATGATGAGCATGCAGATCTCCGAGAAGACAAGCGCTATTTGGCCGATCATCCTGGCCTGGTGCCGGTGACCACTGAGCAAGTACAAATCTTCCTTCATTAACTCTGAATAGAGTTCAACATGCAGTTATTTTTAAAACTGTTGGCTTTGTGTTCATAACTAGGGTGAGGAACTCCGTAAACAGATTGGAGCTACCTATTATATTGAGTGCAGTTCAAAAACTCAGCAGGTATGTTTGTACAACCATTCTATTTTTCCAATTCTTCAATGTTTCAAGATGTGTATGCTAAAATACCACACATTGATACCTCTGAATTTTGAAATAAATCAATTCCTAATCCTAAGTATATTGCAGAATGTTAAGGCCGTTTTTGATGCTGCGATCAGAATGGTCATCAAGCCTCCACAAAAGCAACACGAGAAGAGGAAAAAACCACAAGGCTGTTTCCTGTCAGTACACTTCTTCCGTATTATATCTTACAAATTTGTTTTTTTAATATTTCCATGTCAACAATTTTATACTTTTGTTGACACCCCATTGGGGATTATCCTCTTTAGTTGTCAAATATTTTATTAGTTGGTTGTACTTGCCCAAAAATTTATTGTGAGAATCAACAACTAATAAAATGTTTAATAACTAGTTAGGTTTGGTTACCAATACTAATGAAAAAAAGTAATGAATACAATGACAACTCCCACTAAACCACCTTATTCTGTAAAAGGGAGTGGACTCATTAAGTGGCAGTTATACTGTCTACTGCCATGATAAAAAAATGTTCACATTATAATATAATCCCAAAAGCTAAAAGGGTCTCGTTAACCAAGGCTTTAAGAAATTAAAATATTTGAAGGGTTTTATTGAAAATGCATTAGAAATCTCAGTGGGAGTGTATTCGTAACATTTTTAATGCAAACTTTCTAATTTTGATTTCTTAATGTGTCCATAAGTCATTGGTTATCATTTTTCCAAAAAAAAAATTATAGTACCTTTGTACCTATTTATTTATCTGGAAAAAGAAGATGAAATTTGTTCTTATTTATCTCGTCTATGCAAAAGTTAACGATAACATTAATTTCTTATATTTCCACTAATACCCTTTGCTCATACAAAAATAAAGGGTACTTAAGAAGTTCACCAAATTTTTATAACAAAATGGTTGAATTACTTGATGTATATAATTTATTTATTTTTTTCTGGATAGATAGATAGGAACAAAGTAGTATATAAAAGATGGCGCTTTGCTTTGAGTGTTTTGCTACTGTCACGAGATGTGATTAGGTTTAGATTTAGTTTATAACTTTTATTGGTGAGTTTAATCTATCCCTGAAAATGCAGAAACATCCTCTGTGGAAGGAACATTGTTCGTCTTAAATGAAACAGTTGATCGGCATTTCATCCGAAGGCGTCGCGTGCTAAGGGGTGTAGAAATTTTATACTTGATGTAAAATGACGTGGGTGGAGTTTGCAGTAACGCTACTTACATTTGGCTGATTTTATTTTCGTTTCTGAATAGGTTTTATGTCTTGAGGAACTATAAACATTTGCACCTTATAGCATGTAAAGAAAGGACAGAGTGAGTTTGTTGGATAGCTACCATTTATTTTATTTTGAAATGATCGAGTTTCAATGTACATAAAGCATACCCGAGAAGGCATTATCAGATTATAGCCCTCTTCCAACTTATTTCTCAAATGTTATTGCTATGACTAATATGATATTTTAGTCTTTAAACTTATAATGTTAAACGACAATTATATTTTTATAAGAAAAGAAAATTGAACCAAGTTCCCTTTGAACGTTCACATTCTAAGGGAAAAGTCTCCCATAACACATCTTAGCAATACTCAGGCGGATGAACCAGGGAACAAAAATTCCATACGTACAAGTAATCAGGTCGGTACAACTTACGTTTAGACCTAAATGAATTTTAAAATAAGTATGACATTATTTATAGGGTCATTTTTTTAATTTTTTTAATGAAAGTACTAAAATATGGCATTTTTTACAAAATTACCTAAATATGGTTTTTCTAAAAAAATAAAAATACCAATGACAATTTTATAGCATATAAAATTATAAAATTTCAGAAAGAAAAGTTATCATTTGCAAGTTTAGATGTCATTAATGAGTTTAAGGGAGAAAAAGTACCAAATGATTGAAAAAATCATGTCAAAAAAAAGTTTTAACTTTTTAAAATTCACTAATAGCGACCTTTGACCAATGAAAAAATTTAAAAAAATTTAATAAATTAGAATTAGTGATTTTTAATTGGTGAGATTATAAATACAACAATCTCGATTCATAGCAACTCGCTCCTAAAATCATTTGAAAAACTTCTTAGAGAGTATCTCTGAATTTTGTGTTTCTTAAAAACAATAAGTATGACAGTTGTAATTTATTTTAAAGGTAAGATTATAACAAATACGAGTGAAAGTGTGGCATTTACATGCGAGAAGTCAACACGTGTATATATTCTATATAATGTATCATTTGAAGATTTAAAATATTGGTTTTGTCTCGTTTCCAAAAACAATAGAAAGTGTTATGTATCAATGTCCAGTGTCAATATTTGACAGTTTTATGCAATATCATACAATTTAAATAACTAATGATGATGATATTCAACAAATATTTCAGATATATCAACAATGTCATTCTTCAAGTGGTACGATTAAGTTGTATATTGTTTTCAAAAATAATGAGGTTCAAGAAGAAGTTGCAAACACCATGCTAGAGATAGAGATAGAATGGGAATACAACAACAGCGAAAGTAATGACTACGACTTTGAAGGAGAATATCAAAGTGATGAGGAGAGTAATAAGAAAAGCAATAAGGATTTTGATGATGATTCTAATGAAGAGGAGCCTTATGTGGGTGGGCAACATCCTTTTGGAGAGTCATACTTCATGCGTGAATTAGATCTTGATGCTAAGAATGCTTCTGAGTTTCTAGAGTATGCAAACTTAAGTATGTGAAATTTTTAATTATGTCAGTGAGATTAATTTTAGTTTTGTCAGTTAGTTTATATTCACTATTAGTAGGTAACACAAAGATATATGGTGAATTATATGTTGAAAGGCAATTCAATGACAAAGAAATTGTTATAAAAATAATGAAGTATTACAGTATATCAAAAGGAACGAATTACAAAGTGTTCGAGTAAGAACCAAATACATTTTATTGTAAATGTGTAAGGTATGACTTATATTACAGGTAGCTTTTTTGAGCTAGTTTCAGGAAGAACGAGTATTTTTGGAAAATTAGAACGGTCCACACACTTGTACTATTGGAATCATTTCTCAAGATAATAGAAAGTTGGATACAAATACAATTGCAAAATGTATAAAGTCAACGATAGGATCTGATCCTTCTTTTAAAATCAAACTAATGATTGGAGAAATTCAATCTCAATTTGTGTACATGATAAGTTATCATAAAGTGTGGTTGGCAAAACAAAAGGAAATTGAAAAAGTATTTGGTCAGTGGAAAGCCTCGTTCGAAGTTTTGCTGCAATGGTGCATAGCAATATATGATGTTATTTGAGGTTCTGTTGTGAAATTAGATGCTGCAGAGGCTTATCGCAATGATGAATTGGTTCCCAATGTTCAAATATTATGTCGAGTATTTTGGAGTTTTAGTCCTTGCATTAGAGCATTTCAACAATGCAAGCCACTTGTGCAGGTTGATGGGACACATTTATATGACAAATACAAGGGTGTTCTACTAGTGGTTGTTGCACAAGATGGAAATCAGGATATACTGTCAATTGCATTTACTGTTGTTGAAGGTGTGACAATAGATACTTAGAATTTTTTCCTTAAAAATTTATGAAAATACATCGTTACTAAAGATGGCGTTAGCATGATTTCTGATCATCACGAGTCATTATAGCACCAATTAGAAGAAACAATGGCCAATGGGAACCTCCAAGAGTTGCTGCAAATTTCTTGCGAAGATTCAAGGCTCCCCACTTGCATAAACTTGTTGTTCGTATTGGTAATAAACCTGATTTTCGTATTTAAAATAAAACAATTAATATATTATTAGATGACATTGTTTATGCTTATGAAATTTGAATTTGTCTTTTACAGGTTGCTCAAGAACCGATCATGAATTTAATATTCATTGTGAGCGAATACGGGAGCGTGGACAAATTTTTATAGACTAACTTAATGAAATACCACAAGAAAAGTGGGTTTTAGCATTTGATAGTGGACATCGATAGGGTCATATGACAATGAATCTCGTTGAATGCATTGATTTTGTATTAAAAGGTTCTCACAATTTGCCTATTACAGAACTTATAAGAGCCACTTATTTCTTATTGGCACAGTTATTTGCATGTAAAGGGAGCTAGGCTTATGCACACAAGAATGCTAGACATTTGTTCTCAGAAAATATAACAAGGTGTTTTTAATCAAACAAGCATGCCTTAAGAAACCTTTGTGTCACTCAGTTTGATAGATACAATGAGGCTTTTCATGTTCAGAATTTATCCAACAACTAGGAATATAGAGTTCATCTAAGACAAAATTATTGTGATTGTGGAAACATGCAAACTAATAGATATCCATGTCGCCACATGGTTCCTGGTTGTTATAGTCAAAACATTGACTGGCGTGTTTATGTAAATGAAGTCTATACGATCAATGAAGTATACAAAATCTACAAGAAGAAATTTGGGGTTGTCAGGAATGAATCCAAGTGGCATAAATATTGAGGTCCCAAGCTCTGTCCCAACCCCACCTTGAAACGTACTTTAAAAGGTCATCCAAAATCAACTCGTTTTCTTAATGATATGGATTTGCTACAAATGAGGTAACCACCATGCTGTAGTCTTTGTCGAGGCAAAAATCATAGTCGTAGTCATTGTCCTAATGCTCTTGGCCCTAATTCATAGTATGGAGTAGTGATGCTTTGCTTGTTCTTGTTATTGTTGATTAACGTTAGTGTTTTTTATATTAATGTGTTGTTATTGGTATGTTGTAATTTGTTAAGTTACTCAATTGTGTTAATTTACTATTCAGTGACTGTTTATAATTAAATAACTTTTATTTAAATTTAAATAAATAGTGTCAAAATAAATAACAACCATTGGGGAGGAATGCGTTTAAAAAAATAAAAAAGAAGTTTAATGTATTAATAGAAAACTTCATTAACAACATTATAATAAGAGTTAGTAAATTCAAAACATGCCACAAATTTCTTTAGCATCATTTCTAGAAGCATGATCCAATCCTCTATAAAGAGATGCTAAGCATGTTAATCTCTAACTGTAATTGCCAATTTTATTTACATCTGTTAACAACTGCAAGTATTTTGCATGTACCACTGAATTACTTTTATTGGACATCAAAACATGTTCCAACAAACAAAGAATATACCCACAAGCATGTTATTGTAATCTAATGTCGAAATTAAAAGGAAGTCAACCAAGGTGTTGTGATAGCCACTTAAATTTATACTTATTTAAAATATAATAAATAATTATTAAGGAATGTACATATTCAAACATATTTTAATGAATCAGGTCAACCTTTCACACATATCCTATACTACTACAATAAAGGAATTTGTAAAACTGATAACTGCTACATCGTTGATCTGAAGTCCAAGTAATATATAAACATATTTTAATGTAATTGTGCCTTCTCCACAAACTAAGTGAAATGTGTGTGTTTTGGGCCTCAATGTTCCACAACTGTATTTATAAGTAAACTATTTATTTGCATTTGACAAAGTTGAGAAATTCAATCAAAGTTAGCATGCTGTAAAATTTCTGATAAGTAACGAAAGCGTAACAATCTCATTATAAATAATATAAAAAACTATTACTAAAATACATTACCTATATTAAATAACTCCTAAAAAAATATTTATAAAATAATATAATTCTTATAAAATTATATTTTATTATAATAATATAATTAAAAAAATATTAACATTAACCCATTATTAACAATAAACATAGTTAATAAATTTTAAAAAAATTCATAATAATTACTATTCAAATTATACTTATTTAAAATATAATAAATAATTATTAAGGAATGTACATATTCAATACAAATATTCAACCATATTGTTATTAATTATTTTAAATTAATTCTCAAATTTTATTAAAATATTTTTTGCATGTAAATTAATAATTACTAATTCATTCATTAATTACAAATTAACCTAACTAATTCCAAAATAAATCTAACTAATTTATTACTAAATTAACCTAACTAATATCACAACAAAATTACATTATAATATAATGTACTTTTATTTATATATAAAAAATTTATAATTAACATAATCAATTAATGATAACATATTCTAAAATTAAAATTATAAAATATACATTATTGTATGCCTTTTTTCACATAAATTAAATATATTTTTATTTTAATAACAATTTAAATTGAAATTAAATTTTATTATTTATTATTACATTATCTTTAGTGTAGAATTAACTATTATTCAGTCAAATTACTCAACTACTACTATATATTAATAACATTATGCTTTATTTAATGAAATTTAAACTATAATAAAAATACACATTAAAAATATATTGAATAAATTAAAAAAATTACATTTAAATTCTGAAATTGTTCTAAGACATGTTTCTTTGAATAATGGTTGAATTTCTAACTAAT